ATGGACGAAGGGATTTTTCAACGAACGCACGTCCCGATTTTTCCCGAAAATGCGAATAGTTTTTCACTCGCTTACGTGAGTTGAATAATAAGTAGGCCATGCGGCTACCGGAATTCGGAAGGCCTTTGTCCTGCAAAAAAAACGTACGCGTGTCGAACTCTTCCACGAGTTTTAATCTTTCATTAATTTTTCAACTTGTCAATTTCGATGACTCGAGAAAAAGATACTTTTATAGCACTTTTCAAATGTTCACCGAGTAGCAAAAGCGAAATGTATCCAGATGAAGATGAGGTATTTCGGTAGAGCCATGGAGGAGTGCTTTTCAAGACATTGTAAAATCATAGGACCGCGGAGTGCAAATCCCAAACACGTGTTCCGTCTCGAGATTGTAATGCCAAGACGTTACGCCTTCGTAAAGAGACGTCCTCTAAACGCTCGAGAAGTTCCTTTGTTCCAATGATCATCACGGATACCGAGTTTATTGCGCTACTTCGACAATGTTTTACCCTCGACATCATCAAATTAAGATCTTTTCAGATAACATTATTCGTTGAATAAAGATTTGTAAATAATATTGCGAGTCCGTTGTCGAGGTCAACTTAATGGTAAAATTAATTGGTTATCAAACGATAATTATATAAACGTGTATTTTTTTCTCGTATCTAAAACTAAAGTCCATTAAAATTCACGAGTGGTCGTATTTATCACCCACGTCGTAAATTTAATAGAAGAAACGAACGACGAGAAAAAAACAAACAATAAATGGAAAAAAAAGCGCTCAAACTTCAAGTCGGCACTTGTCGTTAGAGCAGGAGTGCGATGTTCCAGGCGCCGAAGGTAATAACTGCTAGATCGGCAATCCGAAACATATGTTTGTCAGCGGGGCCTCGTTCGCCCTCCTCTCACTTTGCGGGAGAGCAAGTGCAGTTTTTAACAGTAGGCACCTAGAGAGGTTTTTCTTTCTCTTTGGTGACTTACGGCCGAGTAATACGAAACACATGTTGGCAATGTGGCGCGAACCCTCCATAAACCTGCAGAATATCTCGAATGGGCCACATGTTTTTCCAATGACACCCTCCTCAAGAAGGAGACGAAGAAGAACCGAAGGTAAGGCTTTGCCGAAGGGACAGGTAGGCGGATCTAATACGAAACATGTGTTCGGGAACGACCCCAACCGGCGAAAGGTTCAAAGCGCGTATGCACTGTTTGTTTTTGAACTATAGGCCAGTGGCCCTCGGCTGGAGAAAACCATCGGAAATTATGGGGCCATCCGCGAAGAGCCGTAAAAGCACCTGAACTTCTCCGAGCGGCCCATCTCACTGGCACACCAACTTTCACATTATGATGTACGGATGACAAGTGCGAGGCGCGCGCGAGCTTTGTCAGGCAAGGTATACGGTGACGATGAAGCACCTAGCTTCTACATTGTTTTTGCTGGCACGTTGACATTGCAAAAACTTGGAAGGTTGCAATATTTAAAACGTATCCTTCGCCATTTTTACCCAAAATCAATTACATATTCAAGCAATCAATTATACATTATTGAAATGCTGAACTTGAAAATGTAATCAATTTCCGAACGATTTGCTTACGTTTGAAAAATTGCACCAACAAATCGCTTAACCGCGAAGTAAAAGGAAACCTTGCATAAATTCACCCTCACCCTTGCGGAGCAGAGCAGCCGCAAGCGGAAATTCCCTTCGTTCCTTGCCGCCTTCGCTAAGAATATATATAGTACAGCCTCCCTCGGTACAGTCATCGCGCTTTCTCTCGTCCTCCCTTGATTCGCTTCGTGAACATTTCTGCCGAGCTACAGAGGATTTCGCAAGCCGTGCATGTAAAGCAGGTCTCCTGAGCGTACGAGATGCGACGCCACCGACGCCAATGACAAGAATACTGCAGGGGAAAAGAAAACATTGCATTTTATGGAAACCGAGAGCACACATCGAGGGAGATGCAGTGTGCAGATTTTCGGCAGAACATACAATTGGCGCGAACAGACTTTTGTGGGAAAACAAAGTTTTTACGTGCCACAGGTCGGAGGTTCGTTCGTTTGAAATTTGGTTCTTATGAACGCTGTGCTTTGCCTAGAAAACTATTTCTCGAGCACAAAATTTCTCAAGCATCCCGTTGCAAATAGGAGAGAGAAAAAAAATAAAAAAAAAAAAGAATCCGCGCAACGCTGAAATCCTCGCTCCAAAGCACACGCGGCGAAACCGGGGAACAGTGCCTGGAAAAGAAAGACCTCGCGCAAGATAAAGCCGAGAAGGGAAGAGGGAGCGAGGGCGTCTCATTAAAAATGCGCGAAAGCCTGGGAAAAAAATGTTTTCTCTCTCGCTCCCTTGGCAGCCGTTTATGACCCTGAGTTCTCTCCAACGGAGCAAAGCCTTTTTCATCTCCCCCGAAAAAGCTAAGGAAGCTGGTATAAGCATACAGATGCCTTATACTGCAGCGGTTTAATGTTATTGTTATTGTTACATCAAGAACTATGCTCATGTGGAACGCTGCAGTACCTTAATTTTGATTCCCTATAGTTTACCATCGCCAAATCATCGACGTTATCGTGGTCACGTGATGTCAATATCTATCTACTGTGAAGTTTTAGAATCAAGCAGAACTCTGAATGACTATTATGGCAGCATTCACTAATGATACTTGCCATTAGCATAGAGCAATTAAATTTACTAACCTTTAATTTAATTACCTCGATTGACTTTTGGTAGCCTTCGGTAATGAAAACCTTTTCTTAGAAAAAAGACGGATGAAGCACAAGTGGCTGTAGACGGTAAAATAGCAATAATAAATAATACGAAATATGGGTGTGGTACTTAAATTGCACAATAAACCCCGGTGATTACAACAACGATTTTCAGCGCAAGAGCAAGAAATCACCTGCCCGATCGGCTTGTAATTTGGCCCAGACCACTTGTAACAAAGCTAATTTCAAATTCTGGGGATTCCCCAACCGCTATAAGCAAGTATAACACAGGGACGTTTAAACTACGCAGCCACCTGCTGCGAGCACAATTTTCTGGAAAAAGCCTAGCTGGGCGTTTTTCTTCCCCGACACCCTCGGCGTCAACCTATCCAGTGCAGAGCGCACTTTACGAAAGGTGCAACCTGGCGCCATCTTTTTTAACTGTCGAGGAGAACGTCTTTTCGAAAAGAAAGGCAGCAAACGAGAGACCGCCATTTTTGCGGAGGTGAGAGAAGAAAGTTTATCGTAGACGTTACGTGGATTTTAGACATTCGTGCCATTACCATTACTAACTTCAAATAATTTCAAATACGACTGATTTAAAAGAGGAGATTTTCTGTGCACACGCGCGTGCGTATTCCGCGGAAGGGTTCACGCGATTGTGATTTGGGTACTCATTCAAAAGCGAACGCTAGCATATTGGCCCCCCTTTATTCTCATCACGACTGATGGATAAGCTTGCGAGTTGAAAGTGTGTTCAAAAAATGAAATTGAAGTAGGCCCTTTTATTCTGCAACAAGTTATCCTCATGATTATTTATGATTTTCTCCTTAGTTGAAACACATTTTGTAGTGTACGTGCTTATGGCGAAATAAATATACTTGAATGCCGTTGAAGTTACGTTTGCCCGGAACTTTCTTGAAACCTGAAAATGATACAAAATGGAAGTTTTAACAAGTGACTCATGGTTTTAAAAAATAGACGGAAATAACGCGAAGGACAATATTGTAGCAATATACGAACAAAGAATTGAGTTTTTCGCGATAATAAAAACCAATCGACTTGCAGAGAGTCTGATATAGTATGAACATAAAAAATGTAAAATAAAAGTGATGACGTAATCGTAAAAGAATGGTGTATGCGAGGGTGTATGCGTGTCACCGCAGTGCTTATTATGCGTGTGAGCGTGTGAGGTTTTTAAACTACAAGAAGGTCTTATATCGTTAAGACGTTTTCCTCGTATGATTTCAATATATATATATTGACATATACAAGCTAATCTGTTGTGACAAATACTAACGATTATCTCTGGAATATTAATTATATAAATACTAGTCAAAAGTCTGTCTGTTCTATGTCGCTCGCTTGTAGACTTTAGAATTTATTGACTGAGGAAATATCTCAACACTTGTGATAATTTTGTGATACCTTATGATACGGTACCATTGTAAAAATAACGTAACCATTGTATATATTGACATATCCTGTATATAAATTGTATTTAATATCTTGCTGCTATAGCGAATAAAGAGGTATTAATTAATCAGTCAATAAGCATTTTTTTATTTTAAATATTAATTATTAATTTATAAAATTCCGTCCAAACTAACAAATACATACGCACACAAACTTAAAGATACTAATGTTTCAATCATGTTAAGTGGTTCTCATTCAACAGCACAGAAGTTAAAAGTAAAAGTTCACATAAAAGTTTTAGATTGAATAATGTTAGCATTCATCGTACATATAAACTGTTAAATTACCAATCTGCTTGCATTTTGAAAACACCCACTAGAATTTGAATACCCTACTTTTTCAACGTGAAACGAAGTCCGTTTCAGTTGAACTCGCATAATTCAATTAAAACAGCTCGCTAGCCGAGTTTTGCTCGCTCAAATGCAAACTGCCAGGCGCCTAAAGATTTGGTTCGCATTCAGTTGCGCAACACGTATTCCACCTCTAGAGTCGTATAACTGGCATAATTGGTTTTTCTACAAAGCGTTTATTTGCATCTCCATTATTCGCAAACAGCGTCATTGCAGTGGAAGCGCGGTGAGGAGTCTGCGACGCTTCCGTTGCTGCTCGTGGCAGCGAAGGCTCGCCACTGCGACGAGCAGCCCCGCGCGCACACGGCAATAGACAAAGCGAGAACGGGAAGCAATCCTTTATCCCTCTCGCTCGTGCGAAAAATCGACGTCGTGACGTTCACGCGCACGACCCACGCGAAGGAAGCGACAGGAACGTCGCCCCCTCCACCGTGGAATATTTCAAGGGTGGAGCTTAGAGCGGCGCAAGGGTGGTGCCTTTTCCAATTTTACGCTTTCTAGCGTGCGACGCAGCCACGACACGAGTGCAAGAGAGACGGCCGACGTCCTGCCGTTCGCGCCGCCGAAGGTTACCGAGTCAAGCAGACCGTATAGTCAGTCAGTTGCCGAGCGCCGAGTGCAACGGTCGTATTTTCACTCGCGCGCCTCTATCTCGCAGTGGTCGCCTCTTGATCGTACACGCACCCACGTACCGAGTTCGCCCCTTGGCTGCCGGCCGTGCCTTTCCGTTGACTTGCCCTCGTGCAGACTTGCAAAATGTGCACGTACGAGCCGACGGTGATGCTGCAGCCGCAGCTACATCACCATCTCAACAACTTTAGCAATTTGAACAACTGTAGCAATCTCAGTGACTTTAGCAATTTGAGTGACTTTAGCAATCTCAGTGACTATAGCAATCTGAACAACTTTAACAATCTGAGCAATCATTACGCGGAGGTGTTGAGGTTCGAAAGGACCCTTGCTGCTGTGCAGATAAAACGACAGAAGCGGCATGAGCCCTACACCAAAAATCGAAGACGGAAAGGTAGAGCCTTGTTTTCACGCGTTGCGATTGCTTTTGTTCGTTACTTTTTTTTTTTTGCGAATGAAAATGCGGCTCGACCGTACGAGCCCGCCAATTCTTCCAACCCCTGTTTGTTTGCTTCGATTGCGAATGTCGCATTTCTCGTACGAGCAGAGTCCAATCGATGACCGACAACAATCTCGCTTCGAGCTTTCACAGCTTCCGCGCGCGTAATAAGAACGCAGCCTTCTCTCGCTCTTTTATCAGCTACTGTTAAACGCGCAGTTGGCGAAACGTTATCCGATCGAGAAAGGATATAACGTTACTGTGCGCGCGCGCGCGCGCACGTGTGTGTGTGGTTTGTTTTGTTTTAGACGTAGACGTAGTTTCTTTTTTCTTTCAGCTCGCAATTGCATAATTCGCTCGTCGTCTCGGAGACGTCGCTCTGCCGACTCGGGGAAAAACGTCTCCCGACAATGTTAATTTATCGGGGAAGAAAGCGCATAGCGGCAGCGATAACGACATGCGAAGTGGCGGAGTGTGAGAGAGAGAGAGAGAAATGCATTATTCAGAGGCAACTCCGAATTTCCATTCGTCGTTAGGCGTCGTCGACGTTGCTCTCTTCGACGACGCTCGCTTTTAATGATGGCTCGCGCTCTCTCTCTCTCGCCCTTTTCGCTGTGAACATAACGAGGACCATCGCGATCGTTATACCTCCGACGCTCGCGTACGCGCCCTTTTGTTTTTTTTTTCATTCGATTTGCTAATATTCCACGAGGTACGGAAAGTTTTTCCGTCGCCCGCGGGCCGAGAGCGCTTCGCGATCGATCGGCGAGCTCGCGACCGAGCGAGTCTCGGCCAGATTTGCTTGACGAGCCACGAGGACGGGCACACGGGCGCGCGAGAAGCTATTCGCTGTGTTTCGACAGCTCTCCGTCGACGCTCGCTCGCTCGCTCCTTCGGGAATATATGGTTTCATTTCGCGCCTGTTACCCTATTAAATGCTTGTGTGCGCTCTTTTTCTCTTTTCTCCGGAGCCGATTGAATTACCACGCACACACGCTTGTGTGTTTCCCTTCTACGCTTTTTATGGGTGTACACTTTCTACTGGACTCCTTTTTTGATTTTGTTGTTTTTTTTTACTATCGCTCGAAGATTAATTATACGATTTGTTTGCGCATTCCTTCCGAAGAATTCTTTCGAGCAATATATTGATTTACAGAGTGCCCGCTACCGGACACGCTGGACTTGAGTCCACCGGTGAAGCTAACTATTCTGGAGTCCCACTACCAGCAGCCGCAGCCGCAGCAGCCATTGCAGTATCAGCAGAATCTGAACAACAACAACAAGAAGACCAGCAGCCAGGCGAGCAGCAACAATAACAATACGATAGGGCTGGGAGTCGGCGGGGGCAGCGGTGGCGGTGGTCCGCAGGAAGTCGTTATGAAAGCCAAAAGCCGCGACGCGGCCAAGAATCGCCGTGAAAAGGAGAACACCGAGTTCACCGAGCTCGCTAAATTACTGCCCCTACCGACTGCCATCACCTCCCAGCTCGACAAAGCCAGCATCATAAGGCTGACCACCAGCTACCTGAAGCTTCGCAATTTGTTTCCCGACGGTGAGTGCTCGAGATCACGTTTTCTTCGCGTATTCGGAGAAACGAGAAAATCGATCGATCGGCTACGAATTACAAAATCAAAATACTCGAGCTGCCGTGTAAGCTATCCTAAGCAATCAACCTGCGTCATCAAGTACACATACCCTCCCCCTCCGGTCTTCGTAAAAGAAAGGAAAGAAATTATCTACGGGGAGAACAAAGGATGCGCGCGCGAGAGAGAAGAAAAAAAACCGCACACATCGCCAGCCTCTCTCCCTCCCGCGCGCTGGCGTCTTCATTGCACAAGGCTATTCATTTTCCTTGCACGCGCGCGCGCGTATCGAGCACACTTTATTAATAGAGGCTTCGCGCGGGGGTCCTTTTGTTAATTCAACCTGCCAAGTATAAAAAAAAACGAGACTCTCGAGACGACGAGGCAAAGGGCAAATAGTATCGGATGAGATGGCTGTGATTGCGCACTTAATGCATTGTCGCGCTATACGCTCTCCTCCCCACCGGATTTCCAGACATCGGCGAATTGAATTTCAAGTGGCCGCATCCCTCTCTCTCTCTCTCTCTCTCTCTCTCTCTCTCTCTCTCTCTCTCTCTCTCTCGTTGAACGAAGGGAGAGAAAAAAACGACCAAGTTTCCGCCGGAACACCACATCGGCGCGATGGATTCATCGCGGTAGGTCGCGACTACGGCAGTTCCGTGCACGTAAATATTTTCAAACGCGCGTGTCCAAATGACAAAAAAAAAAGAAACACGAGATGCTGTCGATCGAGCGTCAATCGATCGAACGCCACGCTCGGGCTAACGCGAGCAACCCTCGGCGGCCATTGTACTCGGCGAGATCCCAATCGCCGAAGACGTCGATCCCGTGTCATAGCGCGCATCGCCGCTCGTCATCGTGAAATTCCGCGGCCCTTTGTTCGTACGAATTTGCATCGCTGGATCGCGTGGCCGGCGCAAAGGAAAAACCCCTTTCGCCGGCGCGAGACGCGTAATTTTCGTTTGTTTTCGAACATTTTTCATCCGCCGCGGGAGGATGACAATTAATGCGCGGACACGCGCTCGTCCGCCGAGCGCATACACGCACGCGTACGCGTTGCGCTCGGTGCGCCCGCGCGTTCCTTTTCGGCGCCCGCCTCGGCTTTGTGCCGTCGGCGCGGTGCGCGAGGCGGCCTGGCTGGGAGGCCACGGAGGCGCTAATTAATCCGAAACGGTGCGATCGCTTGCTGCCGCAGGTCTCGGGGACGCATGGGGCGCCACGCCGGCGATAAATCATCCGCGAGAGTCGATCAAGGAGCTCGGCTCCCATCTGCTGCAAACCCTGGACGGTTTCATTTTCGTGGTGGCCCCGGACGGCAAGATCATGTACATCAGCGAGACGGCCAGCGTGCACTTGGGACTGTCGCAAGTGGAGCTCACCGGCAACAGCATCTACGAGTACATCCACCAGTACGATCACGAAGAGATGAACTCCGTGCTGCGGGGCGAGCTGACGTCGAGCGGCCAGCTGCCAGCGCCCAACTCCAACGGCGACATCGAGATCGAGCGGGCCTTCTTCCTGAGGATGAAGTGCGTGCTGGCCAAGCGGAACGCCGGCCTGACCGCGCAGGGCCACAAGGTAAGCGGACCAGTGCCGCGAATCGCAGCTGTTTGCGACATTGTTGCGGTCGCGCGCCGGCAATTACGCGCGCGGCATTGTCGGCCTCCGCGATGCGTTGCTTTCTGGCGCCTTGCGCGTCGACGCCCCGGCGAATCATTTGCGCGCGATCCCGGTGGCGATAGATGCCGCGCGCAAACGATTAACGTCTCCATCCAGGCGACCAAGCGCCAAACAAATCTTTAGGCCACACAAAAGCGCGGCGAAGAGTAGCCCGCCGACAATGTCTTTTGTGCCGGCGACACCCTCCTCTCTCTCTCTCTCTCTCTGTCTCTTTTTCTCTCGTGGCACTTGACTCGTTGCCGCCCTGCGAGTCTGCAAAGGACGACCGCGAACGGATCGATTCTCGCGCGCCGTGGAAGCTCCAAATTGAGCGTGCGCGACTACCCCAAAATGGCTACAGGAATGAACATCTGCAGTGTGCTCGATTTTTTCGGCACGAAAGTTTCAGCCCTGGTCATACTTCTCGTGTGTATGGGTCGATTAAAAAACAAAATGCCCTTTCCAGAGTGCCGTAATCGTTTTTTCTTTTTTTTTCTTGCTCTTCTGATTATAAACTGTAATAAAAAGAATGCTTGCTTTTGATCTACTGAAAAATATCCGTAAAATAACACACTTTTCAAATGCTCATTACGCAGCTTCTAAGATGTCTGAACAAGTTCGCGGAGTGATAGCACGCATGAAAATTTATTAGGAAAAAAAAATGTATTAAAGCAAAAATTATTCGGTACACCTACAACTTCCAAACTGTACGTTATTCTTGAAGTAACAATAAAAATATCAACGAGTCAGTGATCCCCCTTTTCTTTTAAATTCAAATGACTTTTGATTGGCACAATGATGACTTCTGTCATCATCAGTTGCCTCTTCGCTCGCTATGAATGCATAATAAATTCCATGATTTCTCCTTTTCACTTTACCAACGAGCACGTACACCTTCACTCCGAGTAATTACGGAGTCGACTCGAAAAAGATAAAAAAAAAAAAAAGGAAAAAAAAGAACGAAAAAGAATTGCTAATTTTTCAACTTCAAAAAAGATAGGCGCTGCATTAATTCAAAGTGCAACGCGGGCGCGATGAAGTGTCGTCGTCGTCGTCGATGCACTTTAAGCTTCTCTCACCCGCGAAATTGTTAATTTGCACGCGGCGCGCAAGAGAGAAAGGTGTCGCTAAGCCGCGAACCCGTAGACGCATCCTAATTGGGCCTGTTCGGCGTTCCTTTCGTTAATTAATTTCCGACGCGCGTACGCAAAGTGCAAGCGCGCGAGCTTTTGATCCTTTGAGTGTTGTGACGCACGCGCACACGCAGGGACAGCGCACTCGGGATTGTCATTCTCGAGACCGTTCGTTCGCCGAGGGTATGTTTCAGGCCTATTTCGCCCTCATCGGCATCGCGCGAGAAAAAGAAAAGAAAGACTGCCTCGCTCGCGGGATGTTTCTCGTACGCGAGCCTACATCGTTTTCGTACATTTGCAGGTGATCCACTGCTCCGGCTATCTGAAGTTGAAGAGCGTGCCGGTTACGGGAAGTGCAAGGCCCGAATTCGACGAGACGACGGGCCAACCGAATTACGAGCTCTGTAACGTTGGCTTGGTGGCCGTCGGCCATTCCTTGCCGCCAAGCGCCAACACGGAAATCAAATTGCACCAGAACATGTTTATGTTCCGGGCGTCGCTCGATCTCAAGCTGATATTCCTCGATGCCAGGTAAGTGATCGTCGTCGATTGCCCAACTTTGTTTGCCGTGCGACTTTCCGTTTGGAGTCTCGGCGAGTTCGTCGAACTGCGAGCAACGCGATTGTCTGGAAGGCGCGTCCTTCCATACGAGATTGCGAAACGCGCGAATAACAAACGTCTGTCATGGATTGCAGTGTGCCGCAGCTGACGGGCTACGAGCCGCAAGAATTGATCGACAAGACCCTCTACCACTACGTGCACATGAGCGACTTATTCCACATACAGCAGTCTCATCAAATACGTAAGTAGATATATAGCACATGCATCTCCAACATTTTGAGGTCGCGCCTACTACAGAGCGGAAAAAAATGAAGTCTAATCAAGGCCTAGTCGAGTTTTCTCCTCTCCCCCCCTCCCCTCTCATTCTCGCTCGGCGTCATTAAAGAGACAGAAGAAGCTGCTCCGCTTTTTTCGCGTGTCGATATCATCGCGCCAAGCCTTGCAATTGGGCCTTTGTAGCTTTCAAGCGAAAGCTGACGCTCGCGGAAAAGGGAAGAAAAGAAAAATAGCCTGCCTTTGATGTCTCGTATCTCGTATTTTTTTTTCCTTCTCTTCTTCGCCGAGCGTCGCCACCCCCTTTAACCCCCTTTTTTCCGTGTGATATATAGCTACGAAACACGTTTCTCACGTGTCACGAGCTTTCCACCGACGCCATCTTCCGCTTCGTGTTTAAGAATGGCAAAAACACGCTCCACGAGAGCATTTGTCGAGCCAGACAGAATGAAAACTTCAACTTGACGACGTACGTTGCCACTATGCCTTTTTCTTTTTCTCCTCTCTTTCTATTCTTAAGAATTGCAGTCATGTACTACTGGTTTACTTTTCTTCCAACGCTAATTTTCTTCATTGTCTGCGAGCTTACGTCGCAATTATCTCTCTCTCTCTCACTCTCTCGTTTTTTTTAAGTGAACTTTGCCTTCTCTGCGTAATCATTCAATAATACAACGAAAAATGATGTCAAGCTCTTTTTAAGCTGCTATTGCGATGCAATAAATCTTTTCGTTACTCATTGATAGACGTTCGTTTCAAATCTCATTACTTCGTCGAAAATGTCGAGCAACCTTCTCGCAATGATCTGAAATTCCATCGGCGCGACAATCTCAATCGCTGAGAGAATCTCACAATAGGGGCGCGGCTAATCCTCCTCTTCCTTCTTTCTTATAAAAAAGAGAATCTGACAGTTTATTCGTGATCTGATTGGCTAAAAAACAGTCACGTGATCATCTGTTATGTCGTAATGTGTGTGTGCATGTGTGTATATATATAATATACCTTCGCTCCCCAATCACATAAGGTGTAATAAAGTAATAAAAAATAGCTCGGAGTGAACAAAAATAAGAACTTGATATGGAATCAATAATAATTATATGATAACAGAGATCCACGCAAAAAAATTATCTCAACTCTTGACCAGACAAGTTTATTTCCATTTATTTTTTAACGCTGAATGCAAATCTGCAATAAGCTTAGAGATTTTTCAGAAACCGTATATTTCTCAATGTTAACCCTTTCGTATTCGATTGATGACTGATGAACGATAGACATATCTCATTTCTTTTATAACTACAAAATTATCGGTTATAAAAAAATTAACGAAAGAAAATTTATACATTGAACGTTTATATAATGTTACTTATCTTTATTTTCTTTTAAATCTTCGGTACAATTATTTGCGTATTCTTCCTAAATTCAATTATAAATATTTTATAAATAAAAGTAACGTTATTGGATTATTTAAGTAATAGGCAAAAATGAATAAACGTATGGACACGACATGGGTGCAATATAGGCACAGTATGGGTGAAAATGGGTAAAAATAGATGAAAATAGGTAAAATTGGGTGCCTCTGAGGAATCAGACCGACGTTATATTTATATATATAACGCATATATATGCATATATTATGCTCACTCGTGAAAAATTAGTCTAGCGTGAATTCAATATGAATTGATTGATTTCACCATAATAACCTCGAAATAAAAACCGACTGATACCCCCGATAGAGAAATTAATTGAACTTAGCTTTATACGTAAATTTAGCTTTAATTAAACAAAGTAGGCAATAGGAGATGTAAATCGATAAATTATATTAACTTGATTAAGTTACGTAAAATGTTACAAATTATTTTGAAAAATTATTGATTACAAGCTACCGAAGTAGGTTACCTTCGCGAAGGATATGATTGTAGAAAGCTATAATATTTTTAGTAATTGTATTATATTCTTTTATCGCGTTTAAGCTTTTTGACGATTTTTCAACACAGAACTTCGAATGATAGAAACTTAAACTTTCATTGAGAACATTTTTAAATATAACTGCATATTTATTTACCAATAGATAGTATCGTCGGCTGTAGCTTATATCAAATCATATTTGTCTTTAATTATGCCAATAAAAGTTGTGATCTTCGTGCATTAAAGTGAATACGACAAAAAAAGACGAAAAAGATGATTGGACACCACTAGTATAAAACTAGTGTTCTTTCTCTCGCCGTTCTTTTTTTTTTGTCTGTTTGCATTGGCGCGGGAAACGAAGGCAATGAATCGGCCGCTCTTTTTTCTTCCTCTCTGGGTGACATTAGCAGCCTCGCGTCCCTTTGAAGCTAAGCTCATGAAACTGCGAGTCTGTTCAAACAACGATAGCACGAGTGCTCCGCCGGTAGTAGTAGTAGCAGCAGCAGCAGCAGCAAGTCTGACGCTAGCTCCTCCCATCCACTTATCCCTATTTTCCTCCCTTCCCTTTACGCCAACCTCCCACCACGCGCGTCTCTCTCCCTTTTTTTCTTCGTTCCATTGTTCTCTTTCTTGCCATTGTTCAAAGCGCACTCGACGATATATCCCCCTCTCTTTCTTGCTAATTTCCACTTAAATGCTTGCAGTGTCGCATCGTTTCGATCAACAATGCGATCACGTTCCATTAGTCGATCTCGCGCGATACTCCATCCGCTTGTATTCTCATGTTGCACCGAGCTAACGTCGTTCCATGTTTCCGGATTGCAGTGTTGTACAAGGGCCAAGTGACGACTCGCTACTACAGGTTTCTCACTCGCTCGGGTGGTTGGGTGTGGATGCAATCGTACGCCACCATCGTCCACAATTCGCGCAGCTCCCGGCCGCACTGCATCGTCTCGGTGAACTACGTGCTATCGCAGACCGAAGCGAGGGACTTGATCTTGAGCACCGAGCAGAAGGCCTCGTCGACGAGCCCTTCGCTGCCGGGCGGCGCCTCGGCGACCACGCCGATGCCAAAGACGCCGCTGTCGGCGGTGTCGCAGGACGAGCCGAAGCCGCAGCTGCACAGCCCAACGTCACCTACGTACCGAGCGAGGACGGCCACGGAGACGACCGAGAGCTCGGAGTACGCGGACAGCTCGGGATACGTGAGCTCCGAGTACATGCAGAGTATGTACAGCATGACCTCGACTCCCGCGGCCTACACTCCGCAGGGTGCGGGCAGCGTGCACGACGATCCGACCTACTACAGCTCGCCCGATCTGTTCTACCAGTACGGGGGTGAGTGTCGCTCGAGGAGCCGAGGCCCGAGCCGCCGGCGTCGCTTCGTCGCACGACCGACTAACGCATTCGACTGGTTATTTTCAGGAGCTCACGAGCACATGGCAGTAGTCCAGCAGCAGCAGCAGCAGCAGCAGCAACAGCAGCAGTCGCAGGCGCCGCTGATGCACCCGAGCCCGATGCAGAGCATGCAGCAGCACAGCCCGCCGAGCCAGCCGCAGAGGAGGCCGTACTCGGCGTCCTCGTCGTCGTGCGGCAGCTCGGACGACACCCACCTGTCGATCGAGGCGCCGCGGAGCGTCGGCAGCGGCAGCTACTACGCGCACACGCCGCAGCACCAGCAGCACCAGCCGCTGCCCCAGCCGCACCTGCTCGAGTCGCCCCAAAGCGTCGCGAGCATCGACACCACCATGTTCCCCAACTGCGGCTTCAACAATTTCCTCAACGGCTACGCCAGTCCCGAGGTGGCGCCCGAGCCAGTGTCCCTCTCGCCGCACCATTACCATCATCACCACCACCACCACCACCATCACGCGCATCACGTGGACGACAGCCACTTGGAGATGCCGCTCTACGGCACGCCGCAGTACAGTCCAGGCTTCGTGCACTGACCGATTCGTCGCCCAGCCTGAATTTAATCTGCGCCACCTTGTACATATGTAGCCATACTAACGTTACCTTCCGCTCTTTCTTTCTGTACATACGTGAGAGAACAGTTCACGCATTTTTAGAGAGTATCACGTTGTACATGTAGCGGATTTTCGTATACATATACATATATATATAGCTTAGTTCAGGAGAGAGCAAGTGTTTGTAAATATAAAAAGCAATTCCGAAGACTGACCGGTGCTCGCACGACCAAAGAAGCGCGCGCGTAGCACGTTAACTTTTCTTTCGTTCATTCTTGAATGACACCCTAGATACCGACGTAGGCTAATTTATCATAAATTTTTAGGTCGATCGACGATGATACTTCGCACGTACGCATGCGGAAAAGTACTGTGAGATATATATATATATACACATAGAGGGTAGGTTTATAGCTAGTTATTGAATAACGAAATAAAGTGTGTCTGTGAGATTATTGGGGAGTAGCGAGCGTCTTGATTTTTGTCCGAGAGTTTAAGAATCGCGTATAATTTTCTTTTCTTTCTATTCACCGTTATCTGACTTCCTTAATCTTAAATAATTGACGGATAAAAACTAGATTTTATTTCGGCGGGCCAGTTCTCTACCACGAGACCTTTGATTTTTTTTGTTTTTTAGATACCATATTATAGTTGCATCACCGAATACATTTTTAATACAAAAATTAAATTAAAAAATATACACTCTTGTAAAATACATGCAGGATTTATTATTTAACTTTAAGTGTAAAAAACGTGTGAAGTTTATAATATAAATAGTTAATTAACCGAGCGATAAATTTTAGAGCGCGACATTGTCCGAAAAAAATAAAAAAGACCTTTGTATATATTGTAAAAGTATGTATCTCAATGCGCAAGTAACGGTGCCTATACGCCGAAAATATATCATATTTTCCTCTGAAACAACGGATCTCTTTTTATTTTCTTCCATGTATGTTCTTCTTTTTCTTGCCTCGAATTGGGCAAAGTGGCACTTGTGTAGAATGTGCCAGGCCATAATTCAGGATTAGCGGAGCATCCCCAATCTCGTAAAATTAGGGCGGCAAATTCACGTCCAGCAGTATGAGTGTTGCCCGTATCAGAGTGCTTTGCTTCGTCGATTTCAATTCATCCGAAACGTCTTGACGGGACTACACCTTTCAAGTGTCGAAAGTGTTAGCTTTGAGTATTTACGACTCGGTAGGTACTTCGTAGCCGCCTACATCGTGCCCGTCACACCGCTTAGCGTACCTGCCAAGAAAACTATTGTGCCGGCGTCCGTAACAGAAGAATCCTCGCCGCTTGTCGCACCCCCACGCCACAGATTTTCACTGCGATTATGCGCCGGCCGCAGGGACGGAAAATCCCCTCCTGGGTCAACGATCGCCGAGCACAAGGGACCCATCCGAATTAAGCTGTTTGCGGCTTTTACGAAATGCGAAGACTGTTATTATTCAAGATCAACGTTACACGTGTTGGTCGCCGGGGAGAGGGGAGGTTGCGTGAGTTATTGAATTTACATGTTGATGAGCGGAGATAATACCGATTATTGTTTGATCCAGCAATCGCGTTGATTAAATTGTTATCGTTATCTCGAGATTGTAGAAAAGAAAAGACGCAAGCACCGCGAATCCACGTTGCGGACTCGCCGAGCGCCCGTAGGGCCGCGTGAGAGAGAAAAAGCGTCGGGGCCAAGTCAAAAGGACCTACACGGCGCGACGACGATCCGCGAGCCCCGCCGCGGCAATGTACGTACAAATAGAAAGAAAACAGCAAGCCTCGCGCGGCTGCAGCCGAGATCCCACGATAAGCGGGCAGAGCCCGCGCGGCAGGTTAACAATGACAGAAAAATAGAAAGGGGCGAGGAGGGAGAGGCGCGGCGTGGTGCCGCACGTGGCCGCGTTCATTGTGCGATCCGTCATCGAGAACAGGCGCGTGCAAACGCAGCTCCGATTGTTGCCGCGCCGTATCCGCGGATTACCGGCGGTAATGAGACTGTGGGAGAGCGAAAAAAATAAAAAAGGAATCGAGGCGCTTGATTGACGGATCAATTGTCGGAGTCGGCGAGTCACTTTGCTATTCTTCTGTAATTGAGACGCCGAGCGCGAGACACGCCTCTCTCTCTCTCTCTCTCTCTCTCTCTCTCAGCCGTTCGATCGACGTTATTTGCACGCCGAACGCGTCGCGTTATTTCGACGAGCATTAACGCCGTAGTTGCGAGTTTCTTGAGAGGAGCCTCGCGAGGCAAGCGGAAGCGCACTAGCGACAATCGAAGGAGTGACCGAGCAAATGTCGCCCGAAGGCAGGCGGTCGCGTGGCTCTCGTTAAAATCTTCGCGTAAAACATCCCCGTCGGCACGTAACACATCGCGCGGGGACACCCGGGGTGCATTCACGCGTCGGTGTGTAATGTGAGAAAAAAAAAGCAGTCAAGCGTCATCGAGAGTATTTGTGCCTTCCATTATTCCCCCACGTTGGAGCTGCATTCATACGTATAGCGGATCGCTTGGGAAGTCAGTTTAAGGGACGTTTTCGTCGAGATGAAGGGTTCTCGTCTTGTTAGTTTTATATTGGCGCGTACATACGATAGTCAATCTAGGCGGATGAAGTTTCATTATTTCGAAGACATCGCGGACTTTCCGCATTGTACGAGTTGTTCGCTTCTGGCAAATTTTAATTGTTGCTTGTTATATACAAATTGTATTATATAAAAATTAGTTTGCATACGCGTCATAAGTAGAGGAACAAATGCGTATTTTGCAACGTCGATTGCAATCAATCATTTATGTATATTCTTTATCCTCGACGTCCCCGTCAATGTTCCTCGATTGTTTCTTTGAAAGACAATGCCAATCCGTCCAAAAGTATTTATCTATGCGGACACCAAAATGGAATCTACCGTACGAATGATGTATCGTGTTTACTCTATAAATATAAATAAATTGTCAAGTTCCATTGGCACAATGTCAAGACCTGGCGACACTTAAGAAAATACTAAAGAGTTATCGGATAAAGACAACTATTATACAAAAGCCGCATAGTTGAGTAAATAGAAGCAGATGCTATTTCAAACTTACAGTTGAAAATTCTTTATGAACCTAAATGTAAAAATTATTTTTCGCAAAGAGTACAATAATTTTCACACCGAAATCACATCTCACGTAAAACAGTGTAAAATTCTATAAACTTTCTTTATGAAACGATATTTAACGAAAGCAATAGATATCAAGCAAACTGAATTGGTCGTTCCCTTTGCTTTACTGTCGCGTGGAGTACTGATTCAACGTCGCACAGCTTCTTGTCGCTGTGCAAAAGCAGGAAAACAAAAAAAAAATTACATAACCGAGTCTGTTTAGCTACAACGTTCATTTCCATGCCTAGAAATAACATTGTCATAGCCGCTCGAGGAAACGGTAAAAAAGAAAAACATATGAAGAATAAACGGAAACGTGGCGTCTGATTTTCCGCGGCAAGAATTAATGCATCAGGAGCGAAACAGGCGTAACAGCATTGTTACGGCGACGTGTACAGCGCGCCCCAAAGAGATTACAGCGGAGACAGCGTTGGCAATACAGCTAGCCGTATACCAACAGGACGAGGGTCGACGGGTCGGTCGCTCGCGCCGAGCGACATATGCACTCGATTTGTCCGGCTGCCATAAACTGGCCAATAATCCGGGCGCGATTAGGGCCGGATTCCGAGCAATAACACCGGGACTCGAATTAAATCAAACACTCGAGTCGTCGCGTGCACCGTGAAAACACTTGCCAACTTGAGGGGACTTGCACTTTCGACTGCTGGGGATAAATGACGAAAAGCGTTATTAGCGATGCGCGTGATTTTGTTTGTTTAACTGATTGGTGCAATTGGGGGGGGGGGGGGGGGGTACAATACTGCCGCGTTGTTGGTCGGCTTTCTTTTTTTTTTCTTCGTTATGGGAAACCCGCTCGCACGCTGCGTCGTTATTTTTAATTTCGTGCCGTTTCTGTGATCGACTGCACTTTTGAATCATACCGACAACGAATTTCGAAAATAATATTATATAAAGTGCGTAATATTTGTATAACGTAAATTGACGTCATTCGGTTTCATTACGTCAGACAGATCAAATTGAAAACAATGAGAGATCCTTCTGGCTCTTCCAGTAAGAGCATTAATTGCAATAACCATTGAATAAATAGGTAAATTCAGCCGCATTCTATGAAATAAATATCTCTCAACCAACATTTCCTCACATATGTCGACACGCTACATGATACGCAGTTAAAAGAAGGAAAATCGACTTCTACAGACCACAATAGATCAACGCACCATTTACAGAATCAGCGAACAAAACGAGCCTGCAAAGTCGAAAAAAGAGAAAGCAGCACATGGCTCTCGGATAGCTCTTAAAACAAAGCAGTAAAGTCGAAAAAAATAATCGCTCGCGCGCGCGCGCGTGCACATACTGATCGGAGGTAAAATGAGTAAAAAAAGAAAAAAGAAAAAAAAAAAAAAATAAAGTAAAAGCGAGGGATGGCTGTAGGCCGGTGGTAGATGCCGCGTGTGCGCGAGTGTGCGTTGGTGCCGAAGCGTTTCCGCTCGACGCGGTAACCAGGACGACGGCACGTAACGCCGCCCACACGGCGGGGAGTCTTTGGCGAGGCCGCCTCTCGCAGCCGCATCGTGTTTGCTCGATGATTTTATACCAATTACGGCCTATACTACCTGCCTCGCCTGATCCCCCCCCCCTTCCTCTTCCGCGTAGAGCGCGTAGCAGGCCAGAATGCGATTTGCCACCTAACTTGCCTTATCGCATTCGCCCTCGGTCTACCGGACTAGACGCATCGCCTCCTCGACTCGCTGCTATTAGCTACGCACTGTTTCGCGTACTGGCGCGCGGCTCTCGCCACTTTCGCTTTATTTGCGTTTTCGCGCGCGAGGGTTGGGGCCTTTTTACCGGACATCGCAGATTGTCCACGCTTTTGGAACGAGCGAGGCACGCGCGTTGTGCCGATGCGAAGCGCTGCGACGCTTTTTTTAAAACCAATTATTCCGTGCTTTTCACCAGCTAAGAGGATGGATGAATTGACGATTATCGCCCAAGTTTATTATAAATTATGAAATTTATGACGAAGTATAATGTTGTTCGCGTATACAACTTGGTTCGTGTCAATTATCTTTCAAATACACTTTTATCTTCGACTAACAAAAGCTTTCACGGAATTTGTGGAGAAGTAAAATTCCAATATGATGTTTTGACACCTTTCTGCGATCTGATAACAGCATCTGCAACTGTATATATATATACACATAGAGAAAGGGGAAGAATAGAGATGAGATTAGATTAGACTCTTGGCTTACCTGAAAGTTTAAAGCCGCTCTGACAACTGTTGAGCGCAAAATGACTTTTGTGTCAGTGCGAGTACATTCATCTCAAGCCATAGCATAAAATCAAGTAATGCTCGACAGTCTTGAAAAGCAACATACTTACGCTGTATTCTTAAATTTGAATACTTAATGAAAGACTGCAGTTCCGTTCTAAATCTTTGACTGGTGGTGGAGTTGCCAAGAATATACAGCATATAGTAGCTTATTCGCATGATCTGTGCACTATGAAACCAGTGTTATTCTTCGCACGGCTTCAACGGCTTTTAAGTGGAATCTGATCGTAGCAGCTTGGCGAAATGCTGTTTCGCCTGTTTTAATAAATAATAGAAAACAGATGGAATATTATATTTTCAAGTACGATACTCTATTTTAGAATGATATAGGAAAAATACAAAACTAGATTTTTATTTCTTTGGACAGATAAATCTTATCGATATACTTTAACCAAATTATTTTTCTAATCCAGTTTGTTTTTCTAATCCACTCCGTATCCATGAATCTCTGAAAAACAGCTAAATAAAACTTCAACATTAACGCGTCATGATAAACCGAAATAAAATTTTTACATAGGGTTGTAGTTATTGTTCACAGAACTTCTGATATCCTAAAAGTCAGTCCGTGTATTTCATCGCCAACCGAATTATCTGCCCAGGTTTGCCAATTGCTATATCCATTGGATACTGGATCACAGGATTCCAAACTGCTCCAGAGTTATTTCGCTCGCCAATCTAATAACTGAGTGATGGGGGTGCGTTTAGGTTTGCTCCACTTCTGCAAACCAATTGAATTTATCTATATAAAATGTATAAAGGCCTTCATGAAGTTCATTTTATTTTTCGTTGAGAGTGACTGCTTTATACGTAGAATGGTTTTAAATTTATAAAAATCTATTAACATTCGAAATATTTATGCAATATATGTATTCAATCATGGTTTGGCGGAGAATTTTATCACGTGATTTTTGTAAACAATAACGAATAACATGTTTGTGCTATCTGCTACCTAAGCAACATTTATGACAGCAAAATGAAGTAAAGTTTCGCCATCATTGGTTAAAGCTTTAACGTTGGCTCCTCATTCAATTAACAAGCGACCTTTAAACTAAGTTTCTTAAGGATGTAAACTTGATTTCTCGTAAAAGTATAATGAAAATGGGAAAGTCCATAAGTATTGATCGCAATACTTTAGCTATGTACAGAGTTGAGATAAAATATGAAATCAATAAATGCACTATTACGGAAAGAGTATCGTTTTTGAATTTGAAGTAATTTATTATAGCAAATTAAGTCAAATAATATGAAATTGTACTATTTTTACACAATATATTTGACAGGCGGGCGTATGTTCCATGCGAATGACGTCTATCTTTTCCACTTTATTAACGAAGATAATGCTCCGTTCACGCGATAAGAAATACAAATATGACGTACGCCTTTGTTTTGATGCCTATAAAAGAGCCAATCGAAGATTTAGTTTCTAGCGGAAAATCAGCAGCGGCTATATTCAAAAGAATGGCGTTTGTAAAATATCAGTTAATTTCCATGGCAATTGTCCTGGTCGCAATAGTCGTTGACAGCAATAATCTCACAGCAAGTCAGTACCGACACGCACGCGATGGCGGAGGCTTGCCTGTGCATTACAGAAATGTCAACCTCCGCGGGAGCTATAATCATACAATGAACAACACTGTTTCCCCGGTGCCGAGATGGAACCGCACTATGGCATTTATTCACACTCCGGCGAGAAGATTTCAAGGATATAGTTACGCTAACCTGTTCACGGCAAAGTACCCCGCGCGGAAAAAAATCAGAGGACGAGCACTTAACCATCAGCTGAAGGTTACTAACTCAACTCGATGGCTTTGAAGATATTGGTAAAATAATTTTTGATAGAATGACATTTGCGCAACACTTGGTATTAATGACGTCATATTTGTTATCATGTTTGCGAACTTTAATGACTAGCAGTTGTACGGTATGTGTATCAATTGTTAGATGGAATGCGGATTTATGTACAATATTTATTTACCAAAGAATGTAATTGCAATCTGCTTAAAATTATAATAAAAATAATAATGGTATTGCAAGTTATCTATAATTACATTTAAAATACTTTCATACTTTAATAAATATATGCAATGCCTGTTAATTAATAGATAAATTAAATAAGCTCTTCTCTATCAGTACGTAAAAATTATTTACGGATTATATTTTAAATTTATTACGTACATCTGTGTGCGTAATTTCCTTTTAATTCACATTCATGTCGTTATATTAGCTACACGCGAATTAATAAAGATGTCACTAAATTAACTATTTCGATAACTTTTCTTTAAGTTTGATCACAACTGAGTTTTCGCTCCATTTCCATTCACAGATAAAAACAGATCTTTTGAAAAACAAATATAAAGCATCGTGTATAATATAAATCGTGTACTACCTACGTCAATTTCATTTCAATATTAACGATCAGTTGAAACGTACGTTCAACGTGATTTAAATTGTTCATGAAATATTATTGATACGTTCGTGCGGATATGCGTCATTGTTACCTTATTATTTTTTTGCGATACAACTAACATTAGTTGTTAATGCACTGTTTTAAAGTTGTCGGAGTAGACTTTGGTTACATCCGCATGGCTTTCAGATCGATTGAGTGAATATTAGAATTACAAAAGATGGGATGGAATTATTAGTATATTAATAAATTTGACACGAAAACGGATTGCAACAAATAATAAATTTAACATGAGAACGAATTGTATTTGTATAGGATTAGAACGGTTTGGAGTGATTAGTTGTCACAGGAATCGATAATCTTATAGTGTTATTGAAACGAACTGCAATCTTAAAACAAATTTAAGTTCAAGTCGATGTACTTGTAAATATTTTTGAAATACATTAAAGTTAACAAAGCAGACTTTGGTTAGATGTGGTTTTCAAAATTATTTAATAAAATATTCGAATTATAAAAGATTGAATATAATTATAAGTCTATTTATAAATGTGGCATTTAAACAGATTGTATTTGTATGAAATTAGAATGAACTGATAAGTTCTAAATAAAATTGTAATTGAAATGTATTGTATTTGTATTAGAATTAACATAGATTGAAACTGAATGGTTAGTTGGCATGAATTTGGTATTAAAATCGATTAATTTAGTGCTGGTATTAGAATGATATAAGTGAAATAAATTGAATGAATTTCGCATTTGATAAAGTTCAGTTGTTAATGGAATTGTTAGTAGAATTGAAATATTAATGCCAACTTTCTTTATTAAGTTGAGTCAAAATAACTGCAAAGATTGAAATCAAGTGAAATGTGTTAAAATATATTTAACTGAATTATAAATGAAATGTATTAAAAGTACAGAGTATTGAAATTGATTTAAGGAAATAAAATTTAATTCCGACTTTCTGTATTAAAATCGATCAGAATTGAATAAGATTTGTTCGGATTCACTATCTAATACCCAATATTCAGTCACTGGATTGAACGATATGATTGAAACGATTAAATAGTATTGAACTGGCATATACTTTTATTGAAATTAATGTTTTCGTTTTAGCAGGATTTTGCCGCACGAGGGCCACATGCTAATGTAGCACTTCATTCAGACCTCGTGTTCGCCCTATTAAGATTATTACTCGGGATTAATCCACAGTTGAGTAGCCGATGCCGAACCAACTAGTCAGGTATTTGCAGCATCAATCGATACTTCTGTGTATAGTGTTGTATGCAAAAGTTTATTCATCTTATTTTATTTTCATTTCTCCCAATCAATATAGTTAGATTAAATAGAGACGAATAACAGTATTTTTTATTTTGCAATATTGTTATAATTAGTTCAAATATTAACGAACTTGACCAATTGCGAATATCCATCAAAGAAGTGAGTATTTATATATAATCAAGCAGTATAAAGTACAATTGATAAATACATTTCACAATAATTCAATGGAAATTCAAATTTACAAACTATCGGAAATAAACATTTTCAGTTCCAAAATAACAGTCAGAAAATAAAACGATAGTATATATATCAAAATTTATTGTGTTTATTTTATAAATAATACACTTATGTACTATAAAAATGTTTTTATGGTTTTAAAGGAAAATTCTTTGAGATAAAAATGTGATTATTATTTTTTAACATGGTATATGGTATATATATAGTAATAATCATAAATAATCGTTTACACGTGATTTCTGAAATTGATGGAATTTAACCTCTTCCATCAGTACGATTTCAAATTCTCAAATAAGATGTGAGAACATACAGAAGAAATACTGAAAATATTCAGTAATATTTAATTTTTCACTTTCAGAGATAACAAATATCTATTTTATAAAAATGGAAGATGATGATGATGTGTTACCTTTTGTATCATCAATCCAATCTCAAAGGGTTGTTAAAAGATACTTTACTGAAAGTTACGTACACACACAAGAATCAATGTATACTTGGAAAATAAAAAATTTCTCACATTATTTTTTTAGAGAGGCAGATGCTATTAAATCGTCAATATTTAAAACGCAAATATCAGACCACGAATCTTTATCATGGTTGCTATCTTTTTATCCGTGCGGGAACCAAGCAGGTTATGAAGATCATGCTGTGTTATCGATAGATCAAATAGAACAGGAAACGTATCCAGAAGAAATACCAACATTGTACTTCAAGTGTTCTATCCAGTATGAAGATAACGGATATCTTCGAGAAGAAGTTCGATATGAAAATCGCATGTTATTCGATAATATCGTAGAGACTGAAAGTCATTTTATTCCAGATTTTATAAGAAGATCAGAAATGGATCGTTACTTGCAAAATGGTTATTTAACAATAAGATGTAGAGTATACGTACTTGCAGATATAACGCAAGTCGAAACTGTCCAAACTCCACCAATAGATCATCAATCAACTATGGACCATCGAATACAGGAGCTAAGAGATTTTTGTCAACTATATAAAAACGAGAAGTTTTCCGATGTGGAACTTATTGTTGGCGAGGTAAAATTACCCGCGCATAAATGTGTATTGTCCGTTCGCAGTCCTGTGTTCTTTTCTATGTTTGAGCATGATATGAAAGAACAAAATGAAAATAAAGTAACAATAACCGATATTAGGAGCACTGTCATGACGGAAGTTCTACGTTTCATTTACACGGCAAAAGTTAATAAGATTGATACTATTGCGGCGGAGATTTTGGCTGCCGCAGACAAATATCAACTCACTGGATTAAAGAAAATGTGTGAGGAATATTTGAGCACACAGTTGAGCGTAGAAAATGCCTGCGAAATTCTTTTGGTTGCTGATCAAACTAACACTGAAAAACTTTATAATACTACGCTCGATTTTATAACGATTCATGCCAATGAAATTGTTACCTCAGAGAAGTTCGATACAACTATCAAGACTTACACCTATGACTTGCTGTTGGTTCTTCTTAAAAATCTCATGTTAAAAATGTAGTTTGTATTTGTATTGTAGAATCGATATGAAGTGATATTTAAATGTAACTTCACGATGATTCCAATTATTTTTTATTTCATTATAATTTATTGTAAACTAATAAAGACTCTTTTAAGTAATATATTCTTCGGTAATAATTGTTCCTGTAAGAAATAGTATAAAGTACTCACATTATGAACTTTTAAACAATAATTTTACCTTAATGATTTCTTGAAAATTTCACCAACAAACTCATAAAATACTATTTTTAAAGAACTTATTATCAATTTGTCGTAACTATATATACAGTATATGTAATGAAAGAAGATTTTCAAATTGTTACGAACTGAGAACATTGTTATTGATTTGAATATTAAATTTCTTATTTAAAAAGAGAATTTATAATTAAAAAATCCTTTCGAAAAACGTAAGAAATTTAAGAGTATTGTCTATTTTGTATATAAGCATTAAATCATGTTATAAATAATTTACCTCAAGGGATTTTTATTTTTATATGTACACCCACCGGCAATGAAATCTGTAGGAACGTTTTGAATCCGACTGCTCAAATCAAAACAAATATAGGTTCCGAAGTTACCGACGAAGTTTCCAGTCTACATATCATTTTTGACCCGTGGTCGAACAGTGCGTCGGAATCGAACGTTAATTGTGCGCGGTTAACTAAATAAACATTGATTTATTAAATTTCTTTATATGTGGACTAATCCTTCATTTAATGATAGGTAGTCTAATAATAGTCATTCAATATTAGGTAAGTTTACAATCAAGTTTATTGATTTGACATTTATCTGAGGAATTACATTGTATGTAAACATTACTGGTATATAAGTCATTATTTCATTTTATATTTGATTCATAATACTGCCAAACTAAGAGATTTTTAATACGTTTTAAAAGCAAAACAAGTATTTATTTATAGGGTTCTGGTTCAGCAGACTATTTCCAATTTATATTATTATTAAACGTGAGTTAAACCTCAAGTTTTATAAATAAATGAGAATTATTTATAAAACTTGAATTTCAAATAGTGACAGAATTTATTATGTAAGGGATATCTGGTGATTAGTAAATGTTTAACCTGTTTTATCGACTAACTGCCGCATATTACTAATCTTTACATTTTCCTCAATTTTGGATAGAAAACCGACAAAAGGAAAATTGTTTCGTAATCCGGGAATAAGGAGATATCATCCGCTATTGATATTATTTCTTTTTAAACAGGAGAAAAATGTTTAATGCATATTGCGCGCTGTTCGAACGCGTGATTTTTTTTCGCAATTTTCTTAAAAACGAAAAATCCGGAAATAAAATTTCAAACGGAGACTTAATCCGGAAAAAGGGAGAAAACGTTTTATGTTTAAAAAAATATGTTTAAAAAAATATTTTGGGCGTCAGATTCACAAGTCTCTTATTGTAGTGTTGGTCATGCGCATTTGGACGCTGCGCAGGCATTATGCGCCGATCGTGTCTGTCACAAAACCAATGTTAATTTAAATAAATTAAATTAACAACCAAAATAGCATTTATCATATCATAAAGTATGAACATATTTTAATATACAATAATAATAAATAAGTAGATTCTTTCTATAAATAATCAGCTTCTCTTGATAATTACATTTAAGGCGGGCCGCACTACAGTAATGTTAACGAAAAACAATAATTGTCTAGATAAGTTACTCATATATAGTATTGAGTATGTATACATGTATAATTTTATCAGGTGTAATAAATTTTTATTTTCTTATAATTTCTAGTTCGTTAAAATTAAATTTCTGTGATGTTATACGTTCTAATTTGTATATGCAAAAATAATTTGTTAGGAAAATGTTATTTAATGTGGATTATTTTTTATGATATTAAGTTCAATTTATAGAAGCAAAGTTTACAATATGGATAATGTAATAAAATAATCTATTTTATAAACGGGTAAATATAAAAACATCAGTGTTTGTAGAGCTATGCGATGTTACAGTTTTAGTAGGCTCTGAAAAATTTCAAGCGCACAAATGTATTCTGGCTGTAAAGTTTTCTCAGCTATGTTCGAACACAACATAAGAGAAAAAAATGAAAATCTTTTCACAATAGAGGATGTCAATCCACAGGTAATGTTTGAAGTTTTACTATTTATTTACTGTGGAAAATTCAACGATAATCAAAATCTCGCGGACTTATTGATAGCAGCTAATAAATATGAGCTGCAAGAACTTAAATATATTTCTGAAAAAAAGCTCATTGTCAGTTTGAATTTGAGTAATATTGGTGAGATTTTTATTTTGGTCGATTGTTATAAATTTCATATGCTTAAGAAGAGCGTATTACAATTCCTCGTGCTACACTTAACAGAAATTAATTTTGAAAAATTCAAGGCAGATGTAGAAGCATATTCACCGCTACTTGTTGAAAAACTAAAAGTTTCTTTAAATTTTCTTGAATTTTCGATTTTATTTTTATTATTTTTAGGAAAATAATACTTTATAATCTATAAATATTTCTTTTCTTTTATATGTAAAGTTTACAAAATAAACTCTTGTTATTCAATATTAATTGAAATGCATATAACAAAAGTTGTACTTCAAACTCAATTACAATAAATTACAATAGTGTAGGCACATTTGATATTATACTGTATGTATAAAATTTCATTGCAGATTTACAATTTTATTTAAGTAAAACTACAAGAATTTTTATACATAAGTTGTTATTGCACGCGTCTTAATTTAGATCCACGGACATCAATGAAACGTAATTAAATATGATTGATTAAAGACTTCATAATGTATTTATGCAGTGATAATTGAGAAATGTGATAACAGTCTATACAGTTGATAAATCGTATGTGCTATTGTTTGAAGATTCACAAATTTCTATGAACGTAAAATGTAATACATATATTTCTTAGATTATATTATAATTTAGTATTTGTAATCATTTATACTTTTACAAATAAATTTTCTATGCGTACTACAAAATTGTTTTTTTAACCTTTGCTATCTTTGGTCTTTTTGTTGCAAACTTGCTGCTTTTTTATTGCTTTGTAAATAATTATTGAATAGCAACACTGAATAGTAACTTTTACTGTGTCGAAAGGCAAATATACTAAACGTCATAACACATTGAAAATATTAACGTGGATCGAAGATTTTTACAATCTCATTTCAACCATATAAAACAGGAAACACTCGAGTATTGAACTCGTACAATAATTTTCACAATAAAGAACTCAAAAAAGATGTAAAAATTTTTCCTGAACACTAAAACTCTATTACAAAGTTTTTACAAAATATTCTATGATCTTAAAAGATGAATTTTTAGGAAGAATAATCTTCTCCATAACGTGACACAAAACACGACTAAAAACAATTTAAATAATATCATTTCAAGAACTCCTAACAGATAATTCAGTTAAAAACATATCTCATAATAAATTAAATCTTTGTACACATGACGTTGTTGTTACACCAATAGCATTGTTTAAAACTTGGAACGATGGTCTTGATTTTGTACAGCGTACTTGCTGTTTCGAATCCCGTAATCGTCGATCAAATGATCTGAGCCGCTATACATGGAGAAACCTCGTCTCGAAAGCTCTTCGCCTGGGACTATCGTTGGATTTGTATAGCAAAACTCAGCCATCATGTTTGTCTGTCTGCTTAACTGATTCGAGCTGTAAAATGAATTTTCGCTTTGAGTATTCGCGTATGTATCGCTAATCTGAATAATAAATTGTATCAGTGACTTCCAAATTCGAGCACCATACGTCATTCGAGTGATTGTTGTCCATACTAATAATCAAATGTGCTGTCTTATTGACGTGTATATTAAATAACTCTATTGTCAAATTGAAACATATCCAATTCACGTATACGTATAGAAAATATCCATTAACTTCTGATTTTCATATTTATTTCATAAATACCAGTATAGAATCAGTGCTTAAAATAATTCAGAAAAGAGTATTTAAAAAAACTTGAGACAACTATTAATAAATTATAACAAGATTAAAATACTTATTTGAACTGGTGCTTCACTAATATCTATTCTCGGTTTGCTTTTATAAGTTTGCATGAGTAATGAACAATTGAATAAACGATTAAAAACATATAATTATTGGAATAAATTTAAATTCGTCACATAAATAGACAATATATTTATACAACAGAAAGTAATCTTATGAAATATTTTAATATTGTATTAAGATAGACAAATGATTGCTCAAATAAGCCTTAAGGCAATTTGATTGAATCTTACCGTATTAGTACTCAAAAAAATATTGCAGTGTTTCATTTTATCAACATATCAAAAAAATAATGCACGATAGGAAATAAAGTTCGTCTAACCTGCAGCTAGTACAGGTATTTACGTGTGCTCTTTGTCCTCGAATTTTACACTTGAGCATTATCTCGAATGTCAATCTTTTTTTTTTTATGTGATACTTTATCGCATACTTACTCATCTGATACCAGACGATTGACTTTGACGAAGAGAATCCCGATGAGAACGAAGATGACGAAGAAAAGGAGGAGTGCAACTCCACACGCTGCGTAAAAGTAGATCTCCAGCTCCTCGAGAGTCGTCTAAAAATCGTTCAGATCCGAATTATTTTCTTGCTGACGATCGACAACGCAAAAATGTAAACGCTTGCGTTCAATAAAATCGACTTGATTCGTGCAAAATACTCAACAACATCCGAGTGGTGAAACTTTTAGTCACACGTGGCAATGGCATCATTATCGAATGCCACAATTACAATCAAACTGAAAACGAACGACAAAACCTGCCGTCTCATTGCGAAATCACGCTTGGAACATTTGTCGCCGAAAAAAGGCTCAACGACTGTGCGGCGCCAAAGAAGGAAATCTCGAGGGAACCCATATTAGTGAATGTACGAAAAGAAACGAAGCGCATCCACACGTGTTGTGGATGTCGCAAGTCGTCAATTGTCGCCGAAATCTCAAGGCGAAAGTCGCTCGCGCGCAACACCTGCGCGCACAGAAGAGGATTCAATTGTTCCATGCGCGGGTGATGATGTACGTACCTAATATCAACGGAATGTGCGAGGACGCCACGCGATTGTTCGCTACACGTTCATTGTCGCAATGCAGCAAATGGCTTTTTAAGCAGTTCGGACACATGTGTGTGCATGCATTGACGATATCTTTGTTTTTTTTTTCTTGTTGTTCACGGATATTTCTACGTAGTTTCATTCTGCCGAAGAAGAGAAGTCGAATCTGTGTCGTCGAAGCATTTTTTCTTCTGAAATTATGATACATTAACAGTATGCTATAGTGTTTTTGAGAATCTATCGTAATGATCGATCGACAGTTGCCCGTATCTCACGGACAGGTTGTAATACGTTATTATGTAGATAACAGTACTATATTAGATTGACGTAAATTTACTTTGCAGTGACATTTTTATTATTTTTGAAACCTTTGATTGAACAGTGAAAGATCACGAGATCATTCATATCGTACACAGATTGCTTTTGCCGAGCTTGGAATTTTCGTTGAAATTGGAAAATTGTCTTTGCGAGGATTCCACGAAGAATTCACCTCAACGTTCGCACAATGCGACCTGCGAACATCGCAATAAAACCGTGTACAAATGGCATAACTCGGCAAGGCCGCGAGTCAGATGTATCCGTTCTCGCGCAGCACGCCGGCGATAGATGCGATGATGTATCGAATCGCTCTTCTCATTATGACGCAACGAAAAAATAGAACGAACGGCCGCGGAGCCGCGAAAGATTTGCATAGAAAGTGCGGCGGCCGCTCGAACGTTATCGCGGCGAGTCTCGATTGCGCTGTGACTTGCCGGGCTCGGGATATTCGATTTTGCGCCGACTTCGTCTCGCCGACGTTCTAATGCATTTTCGAGTCACGCCCAAATTGTTTGTCGAGCTACATAAAGTAAATGTTTCTGTGTGCGTGTGAATGATAACAAGGAAATGACATTACTAAGACAATATTTCTCGACAATGTCTTTATACAGGACGTACAATTTTCGCGTTAATTTTATGGAAATTACGCGCTTGACTTTGTTGCCGGCGATAAGTTGCGCGATGAAAATTAATTAAAAAAAATGAATTGTTAAACAAGGGACCTTCCTTTTTGTCAAATCAACCGTGACGCTTGTTTTTTACGAATAAACTAACTAAAAAGATCTTACGAAACAACTTGATAGAGTGAGACACGATAGATTCAGTAGGCCCAGAAAAAAAACCGCACTATAAACGATATTAAAAGGGGGAAGAAAAAAAACGTGCGTCCAGTTAGCGAAGCTTTCACTGGTGGAAACCACAAACCAATGACAGTTTACACTCACCATCTCAAACAGCAGCGGCAACAGGCGGACACACAATCGCAGCAGAAGATCCGTGAAAAAATAGTCGCTTTTTCCAGCTCAACGCCTTGTCATTGTCGGCGACAATGAGCATGTTTAGCCGCGGCCGAGCAATGTTCTCTCATTGCTTCTCATCTGCTGCGGCGCATCGCGACGACAGACCAGCGAAGGACTAAAAAAAAAACAATACACGTCTTATAGTTTCTCATGGGATACTAAGCTACGATGGACTGCTGGCGTATATTGTCTCTGTGCGAAAATTTTACAAGCATACTGCGTTTGCATAGCGCCGCACGACGTCACGGCCACGTATCGGGGTTGCCTTATCTCGGCGAGAACATTTGTTTAAACGATACACCGTTTATCAGATGCAGTCGAGAGTGAAATTATCATTACGTTTCGAAAGGTAAGCGGAATTAATCTGCTCGGATGCGATGACTCATGGACGAGTGATTCGTTCGGCGAGAAATCGAAACTTCGATCAGAATTTTCCGGCGAGAGACGATGAGCCGCCGATAACGAGCGCCAATTGTCAATCGAGCGAGCGGACCTTTTTTGCGCAACGCAAAGGCTAATCAGCTGGCACGTTCTTAGCCGATCGGCAGAGACAGAAGCGCACGGAATCTTTTCTGCTACGATCATCCGACGCCTCTCTTCGTATTCGGACAAGGAGTAATCGTTGGATAAGGACGAATAGTCTCGCAGCTGGGACACGCGTGACGTCGATGACTAATCGATCGAGCAACGTTCATATTTCTCGAACGGCGTTTTTTCTTTCGTAATGTCGATCGCGGCCGGCTAGAGTGCCGTCGAAATTCTCGGTAGATTTAACGAGACCGACGCTAATCGATCTTTTATCGGCGCGCGAACTCGACGGTCAAAAGCGCTGGGCGCGCTGATAAAGCGGCGAACGGCGACGCTGCTTCCCTCGTTCTCGTTGAAAACGCGTGCGATCGGTCGGCAATCTGCGTCGACGATTTCGTTGCACGTGGAAATTCACTCCCGAAGCGAATTACAATTGATAGTAATCGCATTCCCGGACAGCCGTGTCGCGATGGAAATCGCGTAATGCTTCATTATCGCGACGGTCACCTCGGCGATTTCGCATGCACGCTCGAACAAAGTCGACCCACATAAGAGCGCTGACGAAACAAGAGCGACGACACTTTGGCCGAAAGAGAAAAAAACAAAAGAAGAGCGAGAAAGACGCCTCGATTATTCGTCCCGGCTACACCGTCGGCGAAGCGTGTCGATGTATTTATAATCACCTGCGGGCAATAGTGAATTGCTTTCGCGCACGCGGTCGACGATAAACTGAGGTGTGCCGTGGTAGAGGAGAAGCCGAGTTGGTAGCCGAGTGCGCGCGGGCGAAACGATAAACTCCTCGCTCTCCCTCTCCTCCATTTTTTCCCTTCCTTTTTGATAATGAAACTACCTGCGCTGCTTCACTTCGCTTTTGGCGCTTCGGTTTTTGACCTTTGCGTTTCGCATTGTTTTGATTTTTCTTTTCTCCTTTTGACACTGCACGCGTGTGCATAAGTTGAGTTTTATCGACATTTGGCGTGATCGTGTTTTTTTAATTTATTATATGAAATATCACTGTGTGATTTTGCTTGAGCCAGAAACTACGACGCGAGTATCCAATTTTATAGTTTCATATTCAATACATCAGTATTTTAGATTAAAATTGCCAGTTTTTTATGCGAAGTAGTATCAATTCAATTTTATGTTATACTTTTATTTCAGTCTACGATTTATCGATAAATTTACAGATAATCAACAACTACCCGAGTACGACGATAAATTGCAATGTTCTATTTTATATGTTTATACAATAATCAATTTTCCACGATAAACTGATTAATTTATATAATAATTATTTTTACAATTTCTTGATTTAATTTCTAAATTTTTAGTTTCTCGCGATATCAATAATTCATGTATACCATTTGTCATAATGTTTTACTTTCAAAATAAAATTATTTTTCTCTATCCATTTTCATTATTGATGTTCACAATAGCACAGTAGTCGATAAAAACATTTCGAAATCAATAAATAATTCCATCCGATAAATCGTATTTTCTTTGAAGAAAAAGAATGTTCATTTTAAACGTTAAATAAAACATCACACAACATAGCAATTACATTGTTCAATAATAACACAATATTGTTTACTCATAGTGTACATATAAGAAAAGGAAAAGGCGCAAAATAGTAATTATTGAAGATCACAAAATGCAAGAAATGCAAACTGGTCGCCGGGGTGTTTTATCCAGCGACGATCACTAGCATCAGCTGCATCTCCTATTGATTTATCTTAGCACGCGTATCTTTCAGCTTGCGCGCTGATTTATTTCCTCATTGCGCAAAGTGTGAACAATGCGACTGTTGACCTGCGCTCCGATTGTACGGTGTTGTTGGAGCGCCTTTGTATTTTTTATTTGCAATCGATGTTTGGCGCAATTTAATTTAATATTGTAATTAGAAATTTATGATTAATTTAATTTTAGATTATACGAAATGATATCTGGATGGATAATGTCATGTAGCGTTGGATGAAGGGAGAGGGGCAGCATTTGTTTTGAAAACAGGTAGGTCCACGAGGGACCAAAGTATCCACGAGGATTTTAGTTTAGTGTGTCGTTAAATTTTCAAGGTGACTATAGCTCCGTTCTGTTATCCTTATACAAAAGTTTAGTTCTACATCTGATTGCTTTAATAGCGATATATTGTGTTTGTGAAAATGTCGCGTGAGAACGTCAATGTTAAGGTGAATTCGTTTTGTTTTTGATTTTTAAATACGGAAGGATTTTTGGGTCAGATTTGAAGTAATTATTTGGTCATTTGCGTGTTTTTAGGCAGGTAATTTAAAACGAGAAGAGTTTCAAAAATACCTCGCTCGAACTGGAGTAACAGAAATGTTAACTGATTTATTAATATCTTTGTACAAAAAAGATGAACGACCTGACGATGTATTCGAGTATCCTTGCCAATGTGTATTCCTTTAAAATTTTATCAAAATACTTTTGTAAATTGCGAATTAAATGATTAACTGCATATTCAAAAATTGAGTATGAAAGTTCTTAACGAATTTTTCTAGTTATGTTCGAAAATATTTATCGAATTATCGCAAAGACGATAAAAACTTCAATATTGACAGTTTGAAAAAGGAATTGATTGACGCAAAATCAAGAGTTAAGGATCTGAAAAAAAAAATTAACAAACTCGAAAACAAAGATTCTATGATTAACCAACCGAATAAGTCTAATGTGCCAAAGTCAGCTTCAAAATGATTTTGATGATTACAACTACATAAATAACACGCGTAGTTGTATTACTCATTATGCATTTGTCTTCGGTTTTAATAAATTTGTCTTAGGTTTTTCTTTGAAATAATAAATTTGAGAATGATAAATAATTTTAAAATAATTAAAACTACAAAATTACTAGAAATAACTGTCTTTATATATTGCTTCTGATTTTTAATTTGTATTCTAATGAAGAAATCTATAATAAGTTAATTTTCTCATCATAATAAAAACAGTATTGAAGTAATAATAATTCTTATTTTTCATTTGGTGTGATTTTTCAATTTCCAATAATAAAATGATATGATTTTTAGAAAATGTATGTACTCACACAACTTGTAATATAATTGTATTACTATTAAATAGACTGCGTACAAAAAGTAGCTTACTACTATTTATATAAAATATCACATGAATAGATATAAAGGCACATATGTTTTGAAATTGTATACTTACAAAAAATAATAACTTCAGTCTTTGTAACATTTTTGAGTTTTAAACAATGTTCATACGAGACAAAGTTTCAATGTCTCTTGATAATTGCCAAGCCATAATCCATTGAACAAGGTATGGGATGGCCATGCATATACTTAAATATAAATAATAAGGTATGGGTTGCGTAGAGCCAAAAGGCCAGAACCATAAACCTCTTCTGTTCCCATCCCGTACATGATGACTCATAAAACTTACAAGCATCATCCATGCATACGTAATCAGATTAGGCATGTTTAATGTGTTCGATATAAGGTTCATTATAATCCACAGAGTTACTGGTATTGTAGAACAGTGTAAAAATGGTCTATGATTGAGATGAGTAGCATCCTGAAATACAAACAACAATTTACCGTAAAACATTGAAACAAATAACTATTTTTTCAAATTTTATTCACATACATTTATATCCCAACTTCCAGCAGAAATGAAGTGATCTATGTCAATAAATGATGACATAAAAAAACATATTACAACACTACTCATGTTGTTCACAACATACTTTTTTGATAAAAGCAGTACTAAAGTCCAAGTCAAGCCACCGACACTAGCATGTGTCAAGTTATCACAAACAGCTCTTACAATCTCACTCTTTCCATTTTGCAAACCCATATCTCCCAGGATTGATACAAAGGCTATCAAGATTGTTAGAAATATACGCAGAAAAAATCCTTGTTTAACAATGAACATGATTACAGCTAACGGTACATACTTATGTTGAATAATTCAAAACAATCTTTGTTGTAAAAAAAGTCGATAATGTGTGGGTGAAGATTGATACTTTTTAAAATAACTGACAGTAGACTAACCTAAAACATAAAATCAATGTAACTGATCATTGTCAAAAGACCTAAGCATTCATTATAATGTCTTCAAAGTAAACAATAATTACTAAAGAATATCTTCATTGTTTTGGTAATTCAATCATTCTGTTTAATTATTTATCTGATGTAATATTATTGTTCCTGAAATTGAGAAACATATTTTGTTGTAAATAAGAAATTGTCAACTCCAAAGCTTACAACTAAAATAAGGTAATAGTATAAAATGAGTTTACTAATAACAATTTTAATATTCACATATCAAATTGGCGTAGGAACCTTTAAACATGGATTTAAAAGGCCCGCTATTATTTTAACTGCTGTAAGCTTATATAACCTCAAAAACGATATCTTATCATATATAATTCAATTGAAGTTCTCTGCCCCTATTAGAATAATTAGCATAATCAACAACGCTTTAGCAACGCACAAGCCACACTGCAATTATAATTATCTTTATCTTGTGTAAATTAAACTACAATAGCACAAAAAAAGTAAATAGGTAATAAAAGCAAAGGCAATCGCAAGTATAGAGAAAAAAATTAAATTACGTGTCTGTATACTTTATTTACGCGGCAAAGACAAAGTGTGTATGTGTGAGAAAATTTCAGTTTTTGCTTTGTTTTGAAGGAATCATGAGAGCCGACAAAGTGACAACGTTGATGCCTAAGTCATTCACGGAATTCCAGAATAGTGTGTGTGAGGTCGTAATAAGTTTGTCGTTGTGTTTCAGTTTAGACGTATTGCTGTCTTGCTGATACATTTTTGAGGTGAACGCAATACGCGATTATCTCATATCCTAGTTAATACGCCGTCTGATATTTTGAATTAGTGGAGCAAATCTCATCAATGAAAATGACAACCATGGGTACAACACCAAAGGTAAACTAACTCTTTTTATTTGATAACTAAATCTATATTCTAATATTATTTTGGTGTTGTCCAATAAAGGTTTAGTATGAAACATATTTTTTGAATGTAGACTTAAATGTTTTCATTTTCTGCAGCTAAATTTATACTGATTGCATTGCAATCGTTAAATTGAATGTATTAATTGAAATGATAATTAATTTCAGCCTACTGAGGTGAAACGTGAAGAATTCCGCAAATATCTTGAGCATACTGGAGTCATGGATGCGTTGTCCCATGTACTGTTGGCATTGTTTCAAGAGCAAGAAAGACCTGATGATCCCATAGAGTATCCTTTTTAAGAATACCTCATTTACATAGTGTCTGATAGGAAAAAGAATCACAAATTTACAGTACATTAGAATGTAAAAACAAATAGTTTTTATTAATTATGAACCTGTTGAGCAACTATCAATATTGTCAAAGATGTAGAAATCTATTAAATAATACAACCTTGACTAAAACTTAATAGATACATTCGACGTCACTTTGCAGCTATGGATTCTGGTGGAGCAGAAAATATGCATGACATAGAAGCTTTAAAGAAAGAGTTAGCAGAAGCAAATTCCAAAGTATCAGAACTTTCTGATAAACTTGGAAAAATTGAATTGAACAACTCAATATAATTAGATGGATATTAAAATTCTATTTGTGATCTTGTGCTAGTCTTATTTCACCACAAAAACAAATTGACAAGTCTGTTCAAAGAAATACCGTGCCTTAAAATACATTTTCATAGTTTGGACTTAAGGCTATAGCTCTTCCTAAAATTTAAATTATCATGACAAATCTTATCTCTATTTCAATTGCAATATTTCAGTAGACAAACCGCACAAACTTTAATTAAATGGATTTAAAATATAAGTAAACACGTACTTAGATATGTTGTATCTTACTTTCTATTAGAATATATATGTTTACTGGATAAATTATCCAAAAAGTTCAAGTACACTATGGTATAAATATTTAGTATAGCAATGTTATTTGTATTTAAATTTAAATTACTGTCAAAGACTGTATAGTAACTAACATAACTAGTGAATAAACTACCTTTTGTACTTAAAATTTTGCATCGATTACTATTAATCTTAGTTTAGTCACATTTATATCTTTTAATATGAGCTTTTCAATGTTTGAACTACAAACTTTGAAAAAATTTGTCAGCCATTAAATTGATATAGAATATTGAAATTTCAAGCACCATAGAATCTTTACATACTAAAATAAAAAAAATACACATGGTAACAAAAAATAAAAACTAATTTAAGGTAAAATATTTTATTCAGTTGCACTAGATGTTTATCAAGTACCTAGAAATGCTTTGTAATGTAATGAGTTTGCTTTGAAGAATGAATTCTATAATTGAATATAATGGTCTAAATTATATATTTACATTTAAATGTAAAAAAAGTTTTAAATATGTAGAACAACCTTTTCATAAAAACTATCATTATTATAACTTAAACTGTCAAAGTACCATCCATTTAGTCATCAATCTGCAAATCTTTTTTATAATTAGCAGCTATATATTACAAAATTATTTGATTTCAAGCCAATTCAATTGGTTTCACTTAAATTACAGTTAAAGTTATTGCATGTCTCATGTAGCTTTTGCAGCTTGTCTCCTCTTTACATCCCAGTTGTATACTCTAGCCATGTTTACTTCTGTAGTGGTGAACTGATCTCTAAGAAAATCCAAGTCATGCTCAATGTATTCTAGATTCTTTTTAGCTGCTTCAATATTCTTGGTCAATAGATCATGTGCATCATCTAGTGTGTACTCCAACATGACATTTGCTCCTAACCATAGACATACCTTGTCTGTTGGTGCAATGACAGCTTTCACATAAACTTGGTCTGAGAGTATAAACTGAGTTTCCATATCTTCACTATTACTTTTCACTACTTGAAGTTTTTTTATCATCTCTACTGATTTTTCCAGATCAGGTATTTGATCCTTTAGTCGTCTACGTTTATTGAGAAGATTGAATTCCATGTACTTGTATTTGCTATGGCTTTCATCTAGTCGTTTTAGAACCTGATCAGTAACTCCATTGTTTTCTGGTTTTGCCATAAAAGCATCAACATCATCCTAAAATGAACAAAGCAATAATGATAATACATATAATTTTCACTTTAAGTATAATGAACAAAATTTTAAAAATATTGATAGAATTGAAACACGAGCTGCATTTTTATATGACCATATAAGGCTGTGTTTGAGAAGTCAAATTTTTCTAACCAAAAGGAACATTGAAGTTTTGAATGAAAATTTTCAAGTGCCAAACATTCCGTATTAATATTATATCTTAAAAACTCATAACGAATATGCAAATGTATGTGCTATCCCAAATAATTCTAAAATATCAATCGAAAGCGTTGCACTACAATAGCGTTAGTAAATGTTTGTAGGTTATGAATATTGCAATCGGAAAATTTCAGAATTAAATGAATATCTAATTACCACAAACTCTGCTTCGGGAATGCCCGCATACGATTTACCATCTGGAGGTCCTTCAATTTCGTCTTTACTCTCAACTACTGACATTTTTTATTTTTCTAATATTTACGACCCCTTCGGCTTGACTCTTATACTCCCACGAGTCATACACGTACGATGATTCGTCTTGCACGTGTGTATGCGTAGTAGTTCATTGTTTCATCGCAATGGAGTAGTTATGATCAGTTTGTAAATTTTATTTTTATTTACTTATACTTATTTCTAACTGTAACTGATGTATTTAAAGGAAACGCTTGTGAGTAATTTTTTTAGAAATATTTGTTTTTTTTTTATTTTGCTTGGCAGATAGCTATACTGTGTTCATTTGAACGAACAATTACAGATAGTTGACGTTACTCAAATATGCTTATTTCAAAATAGTTTACAAATGCTTACATTTTGTTAACTATCTAGTTCGAAATAGACCTTTTATGTTTTTATAAACAGTATGCAATACAATAATGATGTTTATTTGTTTTTACGAATTAAAACTGTAAAATAGATAGGATGTAAACATAACCTATTATGTATAATAATATTTTGTTTTTATCTTATCTATCATCATTCGGGTTCTATAATTTCGATATATTTTATGACAAGCAGGACCGTTTTTTAATGCCTATTTGTATTTACGTCTATTTTTATTTTCGATGGCGGTTCGTATGTTTATAAAGCATTAATACAGTTTAAAAAAAATTATATATAATTTTCTGAAAAAGTTTCATATGCTTTTAATGAGTCCCATTTTACTAAGTATAAATTATTTTCATCAATTTATTTTAACACAAGAAATAAGTCAAGAATCCATTGTGCATCTAAAATTTTACTAAAACACTAAAATATATCGTCTGTTTATTTTTATGCACAAACGTAGTATAATAGAGCTAATCAATGTATAAGTGAAAAAATCCAAAATACATTCATGAAAATGATTGCAAGTGGGTCAAAGTTTACAACATTTTTTTGTAAATTTATAAATTTTTCAATACATCAGTGTATTTAGTTTGTCATACATTGTGACAATTATGTTAAATATTTTTTTCGCTTTTTTAAAAAGCTGTGGGATTTTTACACTTACAAATATTAAAAATAATTAACGAAAAAGTGTAATTGATTTATCGTAGATTTCATTATAATTTAATATAGATAAATGCTTTAATCTTGATAATAAGATTAATAATAAGATTGATAATAAGATTGATAATAAGAAAACATGAATAGCTTTGCAAAATAAAAGACGAAAAGAAGAGCTCAAAAGGTTCCTGTCAAACAATTATTATTATACTTTGTTATTTATTTGACATGTTTTATACGAACGTCGAAGTAGCATTAAAATAGCGACTATATCTGGTTGATCTGGATAAGGCGCTTCGCAAATCAGCCTAGATTCAAATTGGTCATGGGTATCCTCGGCAGAAACAAGCGACACATTCTGCCCCCACGCACTCTTAGGCTTACTCACCCTTGACCATAATGTTGCCTCCATCTGCGCGAAGACAAAATCAAAGAACAACCCTGCTCTCATTCTGTTCACAGATAAAACAGACTATTATAGTCTTGACCACAGTGCCTGCTACCATCCGGCATATGCTTCCGTAGCTCCAAGCGATAAAGAGTCCCCGTCACAGGATATGCATCGACCAAGTATCGGCCTTGGATGCAGCGCGTCGTTGCGACGGAAAACCATTGTTTGAATTTTAGCTATTTAGAAGCCGTCAGGATATGGGCTTAGAGCAGTTGAATGACGGCAGTCATGGAAGCGAATAATCGAGTGGCCAAACCGTTCAAGAATCTGATCGAATTGTATACCACAATCAACAGGCTCACTTATTGGCCGGTACTTGCCAATTTAAGGAAGTCCACGGATTATGTTTATCGCGCTACTGATTTCAGTCCGTCGGTCGATAGACCGCAGAAGTTGAAGAGGAAAGATATGCCGAAAACTATCGTGTGTCACGACTTGATGGGTGGCTATTTGGAGGATAGGTAAGTCGACAATGTAATTTCATATCCATTATAAAACTTTCAAGAGAATCTTCATGTGAGATGAGAACACGTGTGTTTCAGATTTCTGGATGGTTCTAACGAGTACAAATCATACCACTTCTATCATTGGAACATAATCGATACGTTTATCTACTTCAGTCATCATTTTGTAACAATCCCACCATTCGGTTGGATCAATGCCGCGCACAAACACGGTGTAAAAATCTTGGGAACGATCATTACGGAAAGCACACCAGGCAAAATATTATGCGACGAAATACTCAACACTCGAGAAAGTATCGTGAGATTCGCTAATGCTCTGGTCCAGCTCGCTGTATTTTATAAGTTTGACGGATGGCTTTTGAACATTGAAAATGAGATTGACAAGGATGACGTTCTCAAACTAACGTTTTTCGTTCAGTACTTGACGGAACGTATTCATGAAAGGATAGAAGGTTCGGAAATCATTTGGTATGACAGTGTAACTAATACGGGAAAATTGAATTGGCAAAATGAGCTGAATGACAATAACAAGTAGATACTTTTATACGACACTTGAATGATACATTAATTGAAAGTTAATGTATTTTTTACTTTTAAAATATTTCAGAATATTTTTCAACAATTGCGATGGTATTTTTTTAAATTACAACTGGACCGATTCCGGTTTAATGAGAAGCGTCATGAAAGCTCAACCAGCGAAAAAAATCACGAATATCTACGTCGGATTAGACGTTTGGGGTCGAGGGTGCCCTGGTGGTGGAGGTTTCAACTCTGCATATGTGCGATATTCACGTGTACTTTCATTATTACATAGAAATTATACTAACAGTTTTTTTTTTCCATAGGCTTTGAAGAAGATAAGAGCGCAAGGACTTTCGGTGGCTATATTCGCTCCAGCTTGGACTTTTGAATTCTTCGGGCCTAACACGTTCCCAAGAGTAGAAAATATATTCTGGGCGCAACTAATGCAGTACCTTTACGTCCATGTACCTGTTTACAGAAACGAACGATTCATGACGTCGTTTTGTCGAGGAGCCGGTATGAAGTATTATGAATATGGAATGGTAAATTTTACATTTTACTAGCAGCAGTCTTTGATAATCATAATTTGATTTTGTATGATAATTTTATCTTTAGCAAATAACTTATCACGATCCAGTAACGAACAATGTAGTGGAAAGCAATAGTTCTTTTTACAACATGGCTATGCAGAAACACCAGACTATTGCGCTTTGTTTACATTCAAAATTCTCCTCGATGAATATAGTACCGTCAATTGTGAGAGATAAAGATTCTAAACCAGAGCCACAGGAATGCACCTTTGAGACTTCCCATGAAATCATCAGAGTCCTCGGTCACGTAATCACTTTTGAAGATAAACTCGACTCTTATAATGGAATTAACTGCATGCAATTTTCTTACGACCTTTCTTATGAAGGTGGTGGTTGTTTAAAATTGATCAATAGGAATCTTCGCTCTTACCACAGGTATGTATACCCAAAATAGCACTAGATATCAAGTCAAATTTTGAAATGAAATTAACTGAGAGATTTGCTTAAAGAATTGATAATTATTTAAATCATTTGTATTTTTTATGCTTATTCAGTTTCACTTTTTGCAGGTTATTTTTCGTCGATGTCAGTTTTATGAGAGAAATCCAAGCCCGCGTAATCTATAAAATTGACGACTCCGATTTGAATAATTCGAACAACGACAATAGTTTAGTATTATTACTTGGAGATGGCAATGGACTTACATCCTTTTTATCCAGGGATACGTTGCAGTATGGAAAAGGATGGAAGATGAGGTGAAATACTTTTTGTAGACACTCGTCTTAAACAATGCTTATGTCTAAATGTATTTAACTTATAATTGTTTTTCCTTTCAATCTTTCAGTATTTTTCAAACAAGTATGAAGATAGTTCAAGAAATTGGTATAGCTATGACGGAAATAGGAAGTATTTATATAGGCAAAATTCTTTTAGATGAAGTCAAGCATCCCTATCGTCTTTAATTGCGTTATTGCTTATATATATTGTAATTTTCGTTTATAATTAGTAAATAATACGTTTTTATTTATATTGTTAAATATTAATTTGTTGTTTATAGTAACATTTTTTGTTCATTATCCTTTGTTTGTAAATAAGTCAAGTGATGAGGAAAGGACTATAATTATCATATAAAATTCAGTTTCATTCTAAAAAGCACAATAATATATTTTCTATTTTGATTATCTTTATTCTTTATTGTTTATTTTGAGAAATCATTCAATTTTTATTTCATCAATTGAATAACGATAAAAATATAATAGTACATGTTAAAATTATTGTCAAATTTTTCTGCTGAAAAAAAAAAGTATATAAATACAGATGAGAATTGTTGTCTTGAATTTGATTTGAAAAAATATCAAAGTTTAACTAAACATTCATAATTTATTAATAATATGAATATAAATTACGTAACAATGAAGATATCATTTTCGATGATGATTTAAAATGAGTTTTAATATTTTGAAAATTTTGTATTAATAAATAGTTTTATTATTTAGAATATGATAAGATCGTAATGTACAATACTTTGATTTACAAATAAATACATTTGTTGACTCTATAAAAAGATAGATAAAATTACTTACTGTTTTTACGTATTCATTAAATTATTAATTCATAAAAATTATATGTATGCATACAGTGATATGTTTATTCTGTATTTAATCAGTGTAATGGGTTTATAAAAATAATTGCATACGATAGAAATCTGAATCATTATCTTCTCGAAAAACTACAAAACTGAATTAACGTTGTTCACATATTATAAATTATCATGTTAATATTAGCGAGTCTAGTAATCAGTGCACCTATTTGTTAGAAAGTTTTTCTAATCAAAAGCGCTACAACATAATTTTTGTTTTGACTTTCAGACGTATACTCGGCGTGGTTTGGATATTGTGGAATCTTTTAAAAAATTAGCATCTTATGACTATTATTAGTTATTTCGATTACTTGTTCAGAACTTTTAGAAAATCCCTTCTTCGCCGATAAAATTGACATTGCAGATGGGCATGAAGAATGCAAATCGAGAAGGATCCCCGACGTCAAATTTTTGCACCAATTTTTAACCTACCCGGAACTCGATATTATGCCAATTTTTTAAAAGATTCCATGACATCCAACCCACGTCAAGAGTACATACATATCTCAAAGGATCCGTATACCTATTTAACGATTAGTGAATTGGTATGGATTCTTTTTCGCTTTATTTTTAATTTTGCAAATATATTTGTGCACGATGTACAAAGCCTACATAGCAAAGATTTTATTTCACATCCGAATTGATATTCATAATAGTTTTTATTCAGTGTTCCGTAAATCCTATATTTAAAAGTATTTCATGGTACATGTATAATGCCATATGAGTTGATTTATCGTTCTCATTAATTTGGTAATCACTCTATGTAAAGTACAGACAAGTAAAAGTGTTACTCTGAAAATTTGTTTAGAAATTAAACAAGCGAACACAGTAGAAATCAGGTTCAATCTTCTGACATATCAACTGCTTGTAAGTGTGTACCAGCAGTGGATCTAATTTTAATAATACATCCCAATATCCTAACGATCAACGCTGTAGATTAGTCGTTTCGCTTGATCGCATTCGTTAAACGGAGCACATCCTCGCGTAGGGAATTCAAGTGCTTGATTTTCGAATTTGACCAATAATTTCCGCGCGGAGTACGAGCATTCCCACCGGACCTTGTACGTAGCTGCTCACGGAAAAGTCACGGCTGTACCCGTGAGAATCTCCGGGAGCGCGAACGAAAAGCTCGAAAAGTCTCGTCGATAAATGTTAGAGCGAGGCGCGAGCTGGCGGGAGACAGGAGCGCGCTATGGGGAAAAAAAATATCCGCGAGCATTATTACGGGGCGATTATAAAGGCGGCCGTAAGAGCAGTTCTCCGCGTATAGCCGCGGTGAAAGGAAGACCGACCAACGTTCTCGCGCTGCGCATCGCGATAAATCGGTTTTCGCCGCTGTATCCTCGTACATGTATATGCGCGTGCAACTGCATTCGCTGATAGACTCGCTGCAACGCGCCTGCTCCGCTCCGTGGCTCGCTTGACGACGGCTCGTACGTTTCGGAGTTTTCCTTTTTGCTTTTGTTTTTCAATTTTTTTCGCTTGGTTGGGGCTCCTCGTGTGCTATTTTACCAAGAAATCGAATGGATTCAAAGCATTTCGCAAGTTCGATGATGGAATATCGACAGAACAGCAATTATGTATAATTTTTCGTTGCGCACACCCACAGATATATAATCAAACAATGTAATTTGCATTCTCGTGCAAATAAAAGTTGGCGATAATCAACAATCGCACAGACTGCAGCACTAAAACGCCAATTAGATAAGTTTAACATTCCTCGCGAGCCCTGAGCGTACAAATAAACCGAGCAGCGCGCTCTTCTCATTTCCCTCGAGAGGCAGGGGGGGGGGGGGGGGAAGAGCAATTATCTAAGAAACGAGGCGTGCTGGCCACTGCGGATATGAGTTATCCCTTCGCGATGACTCGGGCTAATGCAGAAACTTGATTCGCGCAAGGGGTAGCCGCATTCCCGAGCGCGCACAATGGCAGCCCGGCCGGTGAAGAGATCGCGAGGCGCGCTGGCCGCCCGTACGGTATCGCGCCTCGAACGGGGTCACGGCACCGCGTATAACTTCCTCACGCTCGCCGTCGCAGGACGCCCGTATGCCCACCGTTCATTCATGCCGCCCGCCGCATGAAAATGACAAGTTTGCTGGCGCGCTACCGCTGCCAGTGACTTTCGTTTTTGCGCGCGCGATTTCGCTGCGCAGCCGACGACTTTGCGAGCTCGTTTCCTGCTCGTCGAGCGTGCTCAAAATTCCGAAGTGCTTGCGGCCAGTTGCTTCGAGCGATTAATCGACATTTGAAAATTACGCGCGCGAGGGAAACCAAACGGCAAACCAATGGGCCAAAAACATCGAGTAGACGAGCAAAACGAATTCGAAGCCTCCGGTTCGTCGGCCGTCGGCGCGCGCGGACAACGCAGATTCGCACGTATCGCGAATAACGCGCGGGAGGAGAAGAGAGGAGCGCAGAGAAAATAGAGAATAATCGAGCGCGCGGCGGGCAATCGATCGACCCCTTATAGAGGCTATGAGAAAGCCTCTCGCGCCGTCGCGCATTCCTATACGCGCGCGCGAAATTAATTATTCGCGCGATACGGAGGTACGAGGCGAAGGTCGATGAACCGCCCGCGGCGCGCACGCATGCACGCCGAAGGATGCTCGCGCTCGGGTAATATCCCGAGCGGCCGCAGATGTAGGCAGCCCCCCTCTCACCCCTCTGCCGCCTCGTATCCTCATTATTTCCGCGTATCCTCTCAATGGGACGACGCCGCGCGCGCGCGCGCGCGCGCGGAAGGGCTAACGCGCGAGCTCGCTGCCTAATTAGGCGATCTTGTATCGCTCGCGCCCGTTTCCTTTTGTTTCGCGCGGAGCTGGCGGCCGGTGCGCGCCGAGCTTTTTTGCTTCACTGCGTCTTTCGACAAAGCGAGAGCGAGCCGCTCGTACATTTGCGTAATTCGATCGTCGGCAAGTGGTACGCGACAGCGTTCGGCAGAAGCCGACGAGACACCTTATGAATTGCCGTTTACCGTGAAGTGAAAATGTACGCATTAACGGCCATCGCCGCGTTAATTATTCCGTAGCGCGCGCGCGAGAGCAAAGGTGATGACAGTCGAACGATTCCCTTCGAATCTTACGTAATGCAATTATTTTCCACGGTCCCTCCTTGCACAAGTTAATCGACGTTCAATCAGCGCTCAAAGTAGGACGCACAATATGTCTAATGAAGCAGGCTTGTCAGAACACTTATATACGTATACGTATACTCGAGGCAAGGCAGCGGCCGCGCCGTGCACGCGCGCGTTATCGCGCGCACCTGTTTATTTCGGTAAACTCAATTAACAACAGTTACCTGTAAACCTAAAAATAAAAGCAGGCTCGCACGGGCAGAGACGGACGAGCGCGCGCGTATATACGCATGCACGCGCGCGCGCGCGCGCGAGTAAGTCATCGGCAGGTGCCGTTAGCGCGACGCGCGCGCACAATTCGCGTAATCGATGGCGTCACGAGCGATCGGCGCGGTAGCTTTCCGCGAGCGACGGGGGACACACGCTCGCCGGAACGTCGACCCAGTTCGCGGCTCGTTCGTATTCCTGCGCCTTCGGCCGCGCCCCTCGCGCACCTGCGCGAGCACCATACCTGCGATACCTGTTGCGCCTCGCCCACGTCCCTTTGGCAGATCGGACGCCCTGCGCCAGCGGATGCGCATTTTGCAACGAACGCCGTCTGTCGACGACGATTTCATTCCGTTTTCCCATCGCAACTCAGCGCCCTCGATCGATACATTTTCAAAGAGCAACGAACGGCAGCGATCGCATCCGCGAAAAAACGACCATGCGGTTCATCCGCTTTGTCGAGTCGTTACTATTCGTTTGCGAAGATCTAAACCGATTCCCATCCTTACCAAACAATAGTTTTTATCACCGGTCAAGGTTACACTCAAGTGCAAAATTTCTTTATAGTTGCTGAATTGAGTAGACAATTTCCGAGTCAAACAACATCACTGGATTGTTTGTCTCTGGGTTGGCAGTAGCGCCCCAGTGTTTACTGACCTAATCTGAAAAAGATTCAACTTGAAAGACGGAAGTAGAATGTTTATCCCAAGATACTTGGTCGAACAAAGTGGATTTTATTCTGTCTAAAGAGATGTCCAGCCATCTTTTTCGTCTCCTTTTTCGCATTCATTTTAGTGCACGAGTATATATCAAAGTTTCTTTTAACGAAATAGAAGATTCAAATATTTAATATGCATTAAATATTTCCTTGACTTCATATGAGATATAACTAACCATATTATTTATTGGCAATAAGTAAATATGCAGTTATATACTCATGATTTAAAAATGTTGTCATTGAAGTTTTTAATTTTTATCCTCCGAAGTTACGTGTTGAATAATTATCATTCAAGATTTTGAAAAAACACGATAACAAATACGAGTATGTAATATAAGTTCTAAAAACATTATAGCTTACTACAATCATATCCTTTACGATGTTAATAACATACTTCAGTAGACGTTCAAACAAATTTTCAAATATTCTACGTAACTTAATAAAGTCGAAA